CCAATAGTCGCGGCCAGAATGAAATCAGTCCTATGGGCCTCCTGCCGCCGTCGGGCGTCGTCAGAAACGCGATCAGCGCCGCGGCGAGGCCCGAGGGCCCGGGGCCGCGCCCCCAGGCAGTCAAGTCAGCAGCTCCGCCACGCGGTCCGCGAAGGGCTGGCCAAAGAGCAGCAGCAGGCGGGGGTGAAGGCCGCCCCAGCCCAAGGCGGTCTTCTTGGGGAAGGACTTGGCCGCGGTGGTCACATCCGCCCCAGTGATAACAGGCAAGCCCACGGTCGCTTCCCAGCTCGCAGGCGGGCGAGGTCCTCTGGCGCCCCCCTCCTGGCGCGGCGAGTTGGGGGCCCCCCTGTCGACCCAGAGCTGCTTCCACCCCTTCAGCGTCTGGTCCGAAGCCGCCTGGCCTACTGGCACAGCGGAACTGGCAGGGCGCCCTCTGGGCCCCCCTTGTCCAGGAAGGAGAGCTTCTCCTCGTGCTGCTGCTTGCTGACTGCATGCGCCCCGGGGCCTCCTGCTGCCAGGGTGTCGTCTGCGAACTCTGTCCAGCGGCGCCGCGCAAGCTGGGCGTCCGACTTGGCGCGGCTGGCCGCGGCTGCCTGGATGGCTCCTGAGAAGAAGCTGCCAGCGCTCGTGGACGCTCTCGCTTCCTCCAGCAGCAGCCGCGCGTTCTCGGGCGCGAACACGTCGCAGCCCTGCCGGGCGAAGTCCGGCACCAGAGCGAGGGCGGCATCCTTCAGGTGCTCCATGTAGGCCTGGTGTCCAGCCGGCGGAGCCAGCATCGCCGCGGCCGCCGTCAGCTGCTTCGCGGGCCGCCCCAGGGACATCCAGAGCCTCGTCAGCGGGCTGACCATCCTGGTCGTCGCGGCGCGCTGGAGGACCTCCAAGCACTTCTGGGCCCTGCGAACGTCGCGAGACCTGCCGCAGTGGGCGGCGCCATCCTGAATCTCGAAAAGCTCGATCAGGTGTCTCCCCGCCACATCGTAGAACTCGCGCACTGCTTCGCCAGGCAGGCCTCGAGCGTCCAGCAGTGGCGCCTGCCACTGCAACTCATGGGCTGAAGCATCAGCTCAAGCCTTCGCTCCAGGCGGTACGGCCTCCGCTAAGTCGAACCTCCGAGGCGACCTCCGCACCCAGACGTGGGCCGGGGCTCCCAGCTTCTCGAAGGAGAGACGCACGAGCACGCGCGGGCACGCCGTCGTAGGTCGCAGTGCCTCGACCTGGGGCCCGAGCGCCGCCAGCGAAGCCGGCGCCGCGAAGTAGTCGCACATCTTCCCAGCGCAGGTCGGCTGCTGGGGCCCCAGCACTGCACCTCCGATCGAACGGGGCCGCCATGACGCCGACAGGTCTCGCCGCCCCATGTTCCAGTCGCCCGACGCGATGAAGGGCTGGTTGACGGCGCTCAGAAACTCCTGCACCATGCCGAGCAGCTCGAGTTTGGTGCCAGCCAGCTTCGCGGACTGCTCCACGTAGGCGCTGACCACCACAATCACAAGGTCCCCGAAAGCAACGCGCCGTGCGATCACCCGTTGCGAGAGGTCGCCCCAGTCCTGCTTGCTCGCCACTCCTCGGAAGCTCGCCGTCAGCACGCCAACTCCCGACGAGACCTCCTGCGCCAGCTGCCACGTGCGCTAGCAGGGACCAGAGGCCGCCTGGAAGCCGCCCCATCGCGCACCAGCTTTGCGCTGAGGATGCAGCCCCCGAGCCCGCGAAGCGTGTCTCCTGCGCCATGGCGACGTCGTCCTGGGCGCCCTCGTCGCGCATCTGCTCGATCGCCGTTCTGGCTTCCCCCCAGTTGGAGCCGTCGATCGCGATCATGCTAGCTGCCGACAGCGCCCTGTGGAGCGCCTTTGCCAGGTTCAGCTGCGCCACCCCAATCGGCCTGCGGCCTGCTGCTGGGGCTAAAGCTGCGGCTGCGCGGCGGCAACCGCCGCCGCGTTGCCTGCGGACCCCGTCGCAAAAGGACACTGGTCGCGTGCCTCTGCCTCCAGCTCGCGCGCAACACTCCTCGGCACCCGAGGCCAGGGCCCCGCCGCTGGGGATGGCACGCCGCCTGACCGCGCTCAGCAGCTGGAGCCGTCCCGCCCACCATCCCCAGGTCCGAGTCGGAGCCGATCTCGCCGCCACCGATTGAGCAGCTCTCACCCCATCGCTCGCGAGCACTTGGGCCTGGCGGGCTCCCGCCGTCGGCGAAGCGCCCCTCGACCGCCTGCAGCTGCTGCTCCCGCGCGTCGGCGATGTTGCCCTCCCGGTACGCGGTTGGGGGGGGCGCAGCTGAAAGACCAGCCCACGCACCGCCTACAAATCGTCCCCAGAGACCTGCAAACGCTCCTGTGTGGACTTCGCTGCAGCTGTCTCCTCCTCCAGCTCGGCAAGCCGCTCGCGCGCCTCGGCAAGGCGTTCCTCGGCGTCCTCCAGCTGATTTGCCGCGGCCTGCATTGCCGCCTCTGCTGCTGCCACTGCGGCGTCCGCCGCCTCGAGCGCCTGGCGAGCTCCGGCCGCCCTGCGCTCCGCCTTGCTGGCCGAGCCCGCACCCCTGCGCAAGCGAGCTGCTGGAGACATGCCTGCCTCCTTGTCACGCGCCTGGGCTGCGGCGGCCTGCTCCTTCTCGGCTCGAAGGGCGGCCAGCCGCACAGCCACAAAAGCGTCCTCATCACCTCCGAAGTTGGGGCAACCCTCCAAATGGGCGATGGCACGCTCCAGCCCGGCCAGGCGGGGAGCCTGACGTCCAGGGCGGGGCCGCGGCCTGGCAACTGAAGCACCACCCGCGGGTCGCGATGGACCATTGCCCGCACGGGCAGACCCAGTACGCGCCGCCTTCGCCGCCGCCACCGCCAGCGCCGCAAGCGCCAGCGCCAGGGCAAGCGCCGCCTCTTTTCGCGGGAGCCACCATCCCGCCGAGGACGCCCGCCTCGCACCCGAGCGCTGGCTCAAAACTGCATCGCACTGGCCCACAGCGAGGAGCCCCTCGCGTTCTGAGCGCCGCGGGCGACTCGCGGTCGTCGGGCGCCCCATGGCCTTGAGCCAAAATGGCTACGGTAAGTGATGGCATTGGATAAGGAAGCCTTCGATGAGGAGTCCAGGGTCTGGAAAGCCAGTGGAAAGCCAATCGTGGATTCGCCATGGATGCCACTGCCGCCCTCATCAGATCAGGAACCCTCCAGGGTCTGAAGCCTCCTGGGTACGTTCCTTAACGCACGCGTTCACCGTAACAGGATGTTGTGGCGCCCCAAAAGGGTGTCACCCAGGGGTATATATATACCTCTGGACAGTGCGCGCCCAGACTGCGGCGACATCTCTGGCAAAGCGCCTGGTTTGGTGCAGTGGACGGGTCTCTTTCTCTCTCTCTCTCTCTCGATCGCTCTCTTGAGAGACGCACACTCGTGGCTGCTGTACAAGCATTGTTGTGGGCGCCCCAAGGGGGAGCCGCCAGTGTATATGTAGATCTATATGCACATGCATTCAAACATACATGCATACAACCAAACAAACAACCATACAGACATACAGACATACAGACATACATACATACATAAATACATACATACACACATCAATCCATCCATCCATCAATCCATCCATCCATACATATATGCATGCATGTATGCATACATACATACATGCATGCATGCATGCATGCATGCATGCATGCATACATACACACATACATTCAGACATGCATGCATACACAGATACACTCATACATGCATACATACATGCATACAGTCATCAATAGACATGTGCATGCGCAACATGTACATCTCAATTTGTAGATATAAATATGTCAAAGGACTGTTCGAGCGCAGATTGCAGGGATGTCTAAAACTAAATGCCTGTTTGGGCCCAGTGTGCGAGTCTCTATGCAGCGCCCCGTGATCATCACGATGCAGCAGGCATGGCATGAGCTGGCCCGTTCGCGCCCAGAACCTGCGGATGTCCGAGACGAAACGCCTGCTTGAGAACAGTGAGCGAGTCTCTCCTGAGAGCCCGGTGGGCACCACGATTCGTGCTTGGGCCTCCCGAGTAGGTTCCGCCAGGGGGCGTGTCTCAGGCCCGTCGCGCCCAGATTGTCGGAACCACTGAAGTAGAATGCTCGTTTGGAAGTGGTAGGCGTGGCGTTTGGGGCTCCAAAAAGAAGGTCGACAAGGCGCGTCACATTTCTAAAGCTCCAAGAAGCCCCAGACAACTCCAGGGGGCTCACGCAGGCGCTCATATGCAGACGCACTTAAACTCATACTTGTGTTGGCCCATGCTCGCTCATACTCATGCCTACTTATATTGAGCCGCTCTGGCCCAGCAAATCATACTTATATCCACGAACACGCAAACTAATACACACCAAGATCAAAAGGCAGACCCGCTCACACTCACTCTCGCTCACACTCAGAGCCACTCATGCCCAGCTACTCCTGTTCAGAGTCGGTCACGCCAGGGCGCATTCATACTCCGCCACTCGTGCCCAAACCCACTCACACCCAGACCAACGTCCCAATCAGATTTTCTTCTCTTTTTTTAATTTCTCTCTCTCTCTCTCTCTCTCTCTCTCTTTTTCAAACAAACAAAACAAGCGCTCGAACCCAGCTGCACATGCTGGGGGGAAGGCCTCGGAGCGCGGAGGAGGTCCCAGGCCTCCCGCGCGCTGCTACCAATCCCCGAGCCCCGGGCCCCCCGTGACCTCTCGACACTCTCCCTGGGAACGGCCCTCCGCCTGGCGCGTCGATGCTCGGCGGCGCCGGGGGCCTGGCATCGTTGGTGGACGGTCCCTGGGCCCTGCCATCGCTGGCGTCCATTCCCCGCGCATTATTCGGTATTGTGCATGTTTTCTTTGCCAGAAGATCCAGGATGCTCCTCGATGGTCCTCTCCGAGGAGAGAGGCACACGCCCGAGCGATGCCATGGGGCCCGAGAGCTGCCTGCAGATGCCGAGCGTGAAGAACAGCATCGGACTGAACAGCCGACTGGATGTTTCGAGCCTCCGGAGGTCTGGGGTGGCCGCCGAGAGCCGTCCTTGGTGAAGATGGTGTAGTTGGCCTCCGAGGGCCACGACTGGGGGACTGGCACGGCGGGGAAAGCATCGACCTAAAATCGGAGGTGCATCCCCGACAGATCGGCGAGGGGGCCCCCGATGATGAATCCGAGCGTTCCTGGGCAGGTTGGGGTCATCGGGCCCGCATCGGCGACGAATGGGCGATAGGGGGTCGATGCACTTCCCCCCTGATCGGCGGCGAGCCTGGGGGGGAGTGAGACGGGCCGGGCCTTCTCAGAAGGCTTGGAAGGTCCACGGCCTTCCGAGAAGTTCCCTGAGCCCTCCCCGAAGACACAAGAGCTTCTCGGCAGGCGGGAGGCCTTCTGGGAAGCCCCGCCGCCTTCTGAGAAGGCCGTCTCCTTCTCACTCCCATCTCTTCGCTCGACGCCGACCTGAGCCTCTCCCCTCGCGCCGTTGCCCCCTGAGCCTCCGGGTAGACGTCGAGGTGCTCCTGCCCATCCTCGCCCTCGGACTCGGCGGTGCCGTCGGTGTCCTTCGAGAGCCTGCCCGCGTGAACGCTCGGAGGGCGGACGGAGAGGGTCTGAGGGGCAACGACAGGGGGGGGGGACTGGCATAGGGGGGGGAGACTGGCGGAGGGGGGGCACACCGGCCTGGAATCGGCGATACATCCCCGACAAATCCGCGGCACGCCCCCGATAGTGAGTCCGCACGCTCCAGGGCAGGTCGGGGCCATTGGGCCCCTGCCGGCGATCAATGGGCGATAGGGGGTCGATGCCTCCCCCCAGATGCCTATCTCCCCCTAGCGTTGCCCCTGAATGGGGAGGGCCTCGGATCTCGAGACATCGGCGAGGCCGATGTCCAACTGCCAGCTGATACAAGTGGGGGGCAGGAGGAAATGAGAAAACCCAAGAAAGAATCACGAAAAACACCATGTCAGACATCTGGGCCAGCTTCCCCGAGATTTCTTGAAGCAAGCCTGGGCCAAGTTCTGTCGTGATCGCTGGAGGGGCGATCGCGCTCAAGAAACTGGGCCAACGTTCGGGCAAGTTTGTTGAGAAAAGTTGGCCCAGTTTGAGAGGCAGAGGTTTCTTGATCGGATGCGCGACTGTAGTACTACGCGCCCCCCCCTAGAGGCACCGAACGATTAGTACAATTACCCTGGCGACGTACCCAACCCCTGCGCAATGCGGGGCATGAGTAACTAGCTTGGGCGACTTCACAAGGAGGTGATGACGAGACATGGACGTCACTATGCTGGACCCCACCAGCAGGCCTCGAAAGTGGCGACAGATTCACAGATCGCAGCCCCCCAGGGATGGCGAGGTCCAATTTGAATCTGCGTAGCACGTCACTGTGCTGGACCCCCCAGCAGGCCTCGAAAATGAAGACAGTTTCACAGATCGCAGCCCCCCAGGGATGGCGAGGTCTCATTCGAGACTGCGTAGGTCGTCACTGTGCTGGACCCCCCAGCAGGCCTCGAATGTGGCGACAGATTCACAGATCGCAGCCCCCCAGGGATGGCGAGGTCCAATTTGAATCTGCGTAGCACGTCACTATGCTGGACCCCCCAGCAGGCCTGGAAAGTGGCGACGTTTTCACAGATCGCAGCCCCCCAGGGATGGCGAGGTCCAATTTGAATCTGCGTAGCACGTCACTATGCTGGACCCCCCAGCAGGCCTCGAAAGTGGCGACAGTTTCACAGATCGCAGCCCCCCAGAGATGGCGAGGTCCAATTTGAATCTGCGTAGCACGTCACTATGCTGGACCCCCCAGCAGCCTCGAAAGTGACGACAGTTTCACAGATCGCAGCCCCCCAGGGATGGCGAGGTCAAATTTGAACCTGTGAAGGACGTCACTGTGCTGGACCCCCCAGCAGGCCTCGAAAGTGAAGACAGTTTCACAGATCGCAGCCCCCCAGGGATGGCGAGGTCTCATTCGAGACTGCGTAGGTCGTCACTGTGCTGGACCCCCCAGCAGGCCTCGAATGTGGCGAAAGATTCACAGATCGCAGCCCCCCAGGGATGGCGAGGTCCAATTTGAATCTGCGTAGCACGTCACTATGCTGGACCCCCCAGCAGGCCTGGAAAGTGGCGATAGTTTCACAGATCGAAGCCCCCCAGGGATGGCGAGTTCCAATTTGAATTTGCGTAGCACGTCACTATGCTGGACCCCCCAGCAGGCCTCGAAAGTGGCGACAGTTTCACAGATCGCAGCCCCCCAGAGATGGCGAGGTCCAATTTGAATCTGCGTAGCACGTCACTATGCTGGACCCCCCAGCAGCCTCGAAAGTGACGACAGATTCACAGATCGCAGCCCCCCAGGGATGGCGAGGTCAGATTTGAACCTGTGAAGGACGTCACTGTGCTGGACCCCCCAGCAGGCCTCGAAAGTGAAGACAGTTTCACAGATCGCAGCCCCCCAAGGATGGCGAGGTCTCATTCCCATCTGCGTGGGTTTTCATTGTGCTGGACCCCTCAACAGGCCTCGAATGTGGCGACAGATTCACAGATCGCAGCCCCCCAGGGATGGCGAGGTCTAACTTGAATCTGCGTAGGACGTCACTGTGCTGGACCCCTCAGCAGGCCTCGAAAGTGGCAAGTGTTTCACAGATCGCAGCCCTACAGGGCTGGCGAGGTCTAATCTGAATCTGCGTAGGACGTCACTGTGCTGGACCCCCCAGCAGGCCTCGAAAGTGGCGACGTTTTCACAGATCGCAGCCCCATGGGAAGACGAGGTCTAATTTGAATCTGCGTAGGACGTCACTGTGCTGGACCGGACCCCCCAGCAGGATTCGAAAGTGGCGACAGATTCACAGATCGCAGCCCCCCAGGGATGGCGAGGTCCAATTTGAATCTGCGTGGGACGTCACTTTGCTGGACCCCCAGCAGGCCTCAAAAGTGACGACAGGTTAACAGATCGCATCCGCCCAGGGATGGCGAGGTCCAATTTGAATCTGCGTGGGACGTCACTGTGCTGGACCCCTCAGCAGGCCTCGAAAGTGGCGATAATTTCACAGATCGCAGCCCCCCAGGGATGGCGAGGTCCAATTTGAATCTGCGTAGCACGTCACTGTGCTGGACCCCTCAGCAGGCCTCGAACGTGGCGATAGTTTCACAGATCGCAGCCCCTCAGGGATGGCGAGGTCCAATTTGAATCTGCGTAGGACGTCACTGTGCTGGACCCCCGAGCAGCCCTCGAGAGTGGCGACCGTTTCACAGATCGCAGCCCCCTGCAGGCAAGACAGGAGGAGGCAGGAGGGAGACGGGAAGGAGAAAAGGAAGAACGGAGACCACAGTGCACTATTCAAAACGAATACCCAACCAAGGAGGGCTGGGAAAAAGATATAGCATGTCGTTGCCGCGGCGGTCTGGCCAGAAAGCGCCCGCCGCCGAGTATGTCTGGGCGAGGCCGAACGAACGAAGGACAGATACGAATGAGCCTCCGATTGGGAGAGGCCTGCTCCCTGATTCGCTCCTCTCTTGGCGGGTCCTGGGCGGGCGGGGCGGAAAGGCAGGATAGGGCCGAATATGAGGGCGCTGAGCTTGACATCGTGGAGCTGGGGAGGGAGCGGGAGGTCTCCGCGAGGCTCTGGGAGGCGGGCTATTGTGGAGGGTTCTCGGCTGCCTCGGGAGTTGTTCAAAGGGGTAGGGAGAAGCAGGAGAAGAGGCAGGGGAGGGAGGAATACGGCGAGGGCGGTCAAAGGTAAGGGAGCAGGGCGTAGTATGGGAGGGCCGGAAGAAGCAAGGAACATGATGAGGTGCCAGAAACTTCTAGGTGGCTTGGGGTGGCTCTGGTGGGTCGTAGGGGGTGGGGCGGGCATACACACACATTTCTAGGCTGGGCCCCCTCCACGAAATTCCTGGCCTCTGGGGTGCTGAAGCGGAGGGGGAGGCGTGTGGGCTCTGGGCAAGGGCCAGAAAACTCCTGGCCGGCCACGAGCAGGAGTGGAGAAATGAGCTTCCTGCCTGCTGAGCAACGCACACACACACGAGTCGACTAAGATTAAGCCGCAGCATGGCTCATCACAATCAGGTCTTTTTTTCCCCACGCAACAACCACAACGCGCCCGCCAACTATGCCCAACTGAACGGTCAATCGCAGCAGCGCCAACCAGTGCAAACGGAATGCGCCACCCCCCTGTAATCATCACAATCAAGTGTGGTGGGGGGGGGGCCACCTCCATCCACAAAGCCGGTGGGAGCTCTACGAAAATGCGAGCAGCGCCGACGGCCAAGTTTGGACCGCCTGGACTTCGCCTCGGGTGCACTCTGCCCAGAACGTCGAGGAGAGTTCAGCCGTGGTGACGAGGTTCCTCCGGGATTGGAGTCACGAGGGGCGCTTCACACCATCACGGACCCAAGAAGCAGCAAGCCACTTCCGAACCCGAAAAGTTCCTCATTTCAGCGTCTCGACTGTGCTGCTCTGCGGGTGGCGCCCTGTTGTCCACATGCAAAGCAGGCCCAAAGGTTCCAAGGATCCTCCTCGCAAACACTAGTGCCTGGGGGCGAGGACTCGCTTGCGACCCTCCTGCGGCCCCGTGGCCCACGGGAGCGCCTGCAGGACTTCCTGCGAGGCGCGTCCTCCACCTCGGATTGGCGGCGGGCGCGCGCGCTGAGGGGGCGCTTCGACCGACAGGGGGACCGCACCGCCGTCGCCGTAGCCCCCCCCGCCGTTGCCGCCCGAGGCGCGCAGGCGGAGGAGGAGCGGCAGCAGGGGGGAGGAAGGACGGAGGGGGGGAAGCGGGCAGGAGCTATCCCCACGTAGTGGTCGAAACCGCTGCGAGCGGCGAAGCTGCTCGGCTGTGCTGAGCTGCTCAGGCGATGCGCTTGCCTCCAATGAATGGTGAGATGCTCTCGCCCGCGAGGCACCACATCACCTGAACAGGCTCGAGGGAGGGGGAGGAGGCGGAGGAGGAGGACCAGCGTGAACACATGACCTATCAACGATGTCGCAATCAACCCTCCCTTCGAGTTTCCTCTTCAGAAAGTCCTGTCAAGCTTCACTTCCACTACTGGAAATGCCCTTGTGAGGACATCCATCTGACAACCCTGAACCGTGCCAGAATACGATTCCTGGGACGTCAACGCCGCGAATTAACACTGCAATTGCGTCCTGGCGATCCTGAACCGTGTCAGAGCATCATCCCGAGGCTTTCATCACCGCGCATCAACAAAAAAGTTGCGCCCTCACATCGTACCAAATACCGTCTCTAAGACACCAACCATACGAATCCTCGAAACTGCTGTAAACTCTGAAGGCGAATGTGCGAAACGCTCAGACGAGAGCCGCATGTTAAAAAAGGCATCGCTCTACACCCGAACAAAAAAACCGTGGCAAACTTTCCAACCGAGTGCGCCAAACACAAAAGCGAGAGCCACATGTTGACAACGACTCGCCCTCCATCCGTGAAGCTGTTGCAAATTGTCAGCTTACGGATCATCAATGGTGAGGTGGTCTCACGTGAAACGCCCGGCCCGCACTACCAACACGCCTCGGGGCGCTATAAGGAGGAGGTGTTAAAACGGAGAAGGGGTGGAGGAGCGGAAGAGGAGAGGGAGGGAGGGAGCTGAGGGGAGCGTCAGGGCCCCCTACAAGGGGACTTTTTGTTTATCCAAGACATTGGCGCGCACGTGGGTAGAAACGGTCTCTGTTATTCGCATTCTCTCCACGTGCCATTATCAGGGTGACCTGGTTTAGCACTGTCCTGGTTCAGGGGGGCCCCAGAGGGAGGGGAGGGGAGACGTCTGCATAGAGGAACAAAAACTGCATGCACGCAAACTTGCAGAGCTCCGCGCGGACTTTTCTTCCGCCGCAAACGCACACCAATTACAGCCCCTGCTGCTCCGATTCACTACGGCTAAAAAAGGCACGTTCGGTTGTATTGAATCCGATTCCCCTCAAGGGGGCTACACCCGCACCCATTGAAGCGCGCGCGGACAACGAAAGGGCGACCACGGAGCGAAAACCGGCGGCCGCTGTGGATTACCCTACAGCTTCCACGCCGATCCAGGGGTAGAGGGACGAGGAGGGAGGAGGAGGAGGACGACGAAGGGAGGAAAAGGAAGGGGGACAAATTGGCAATGGCCCCGGGCTCGGGGAGACTCGCCTGCCAGAAAACTGCGGACTTGAAACTCCTACCTGCCGCCGCCTCCTCAGAGAGACAATGCAAAATGGCGACAAATACGAACTAACCAGTCGTGTGCTTGAGGTGACTGGCATACGCACTGGAAGGTCGAGAGACAGCGACAGCCCTCGAGTGACAAAGTTGTTGGGTGAGCACACTCGCCAACTGAGAATATAAGATGTGAAAGCGGGCACGGAATCGCCAGGCACACGCGACGCTGCTCTGCAGCGGCTGACTAGAGCGAGCCCTGGCTGATAATGCAGCCAGAGGTCGGCCAGGAGCGGCCACAAACACCACCGCGCGATGCCCATGCATCCGGCAGCATCGGAACTACCAATTCGGGGCGAGAGGGAGGAGGAGAGGAGGAGGCGGAGGAGGAGGAGGGAGGGGGAGGACGGCGACTGCACGCTCAACTCGAGCGCTCGGGGCCTCCACAGCCGCCCAGAGACCAGATCAGACCTACGGCGCTGATCAGAAGACGGCAGCGCGCGTCGGAGGGCAAGGGACGAGGCGAGGAGGGAGGCCAGAGGACGGAGGAGAGAGGGGGAGGAGGGCGACTGCACGCTCAACTCGAGCGCTCGGGGCCTCCACAGCCGCCACTAGACCAGATCACACCTACGGCGCTGGACAGAAGACGGCAGCTCGATCCAGAAGGCAGGGGATGAGGCGAGGAGGGAGGCCAGAGGACGGAGGACGGAGGGGGAGGAGGGCGACTGCACGCTCAACTCGAGAGCGCTCGGGGCCTCCACAGCCGCTTACGCTGAGCGCTCCAGCCTCCATGCCTCGCGCCAGCCGACGGGGACGCGCTACCCGCGTAGGCCTCCTTGCCTCCAGCTGGCCAGCATCCACTCCGCGGACCCAAGCCGCAACCGCAGGGCAGGTTGAAATTGAAACCGCTGCCTTCTTATATCGGCGCTGGGCGCCCTTGGCGGCGCCTCCGGCGCCGCCCCTGGCGCCAGGGAGGGGTGCCCAACGCCGATCCAAGCAACCCGCGAGAAGCTCTAAAAGTTTATGTTTACGTATGCACTTCTCTGTTTCGACTGGAGAAGACCTGGTAGCGCGACGCTGGCTTCCCCAACCTTCGCTCGCCACTCCCTCCGCTTCGCGCCGCCGCGGGCGAAAGCTCACCTCACCTGAACAGGCCCGAGGGAGGAGGAGGAGGAGGAGGAGGAGGACGAGGAGGGGGAGGAGGGGGAGGAGGGGGAGGAGGAGGAGAGGAGGAGGAGGAGGAGGAGGAGGAGGAGGAGGAGGAGGAGGAGGAGGAGGGGAGGTCGGGAGGGAGGGAGGGGATCGAGGGAGGGAAGGGTGGAGGGGAGGGCGGGAGGGGAGGGAGGGAGACCTCCAGAGGAGACCTGGCAACGCGAAGCCGGCTGCCCTAATCTCGAGGAAACAGAAGAGTACACACACCGCTACTCCCCCGGACCTGCCCCAGGGTGCGTTCTGACCAGCATCTCGAGGCGAATCCAGCCGTGGCGACGACGGCCTCCCAGGAGGCCCCCAAAAAGAGGCGAAAACGGGGCAAGGGTGGCGCTATCGGCGCAGCAGGCTTGTGTCCTGACGACCCCAGGCGTTCGCATCCGACACCGCGTGCACAGGTCAACCTCAAACAACTGGCGGCTTCTAGATCGCAGGGGCGTTCCATATATTGGTCGATCCTGGGCCACCGCCGGCGCTCCACCTTGAACGCACGCGCCAGGATCCAGCCGCGTCCACTCGAGAAGCTCCTCCTCCTTCTCCTCCTCCTCCTCTTCCTCCTCCTCCACCTCCTCCCTCTCCTCCTCCTGTTCCTCCTCCTCCTCCTCCTCCTCATCATCATCCTCCTCTTTTCCAGTGGCTCTCTCTTCACCCATACATGATCGATGGGCTGCGAACGGAAAACAAGGGAGGAAGACAACCACCCTGCACCTCCCTTAGCGCCAACACGACGGAGCCACCAGGGCCAGAACCCGCCTTGCTAGCACCAAGGGAGGGCAAGGCAGCTGTGAGCCTCTCAGCAGAGCCTGTGCCACCACTCCGCCACCTCGTGAGGCGCGAGTCTCAGCCCTTTCCTCCTCTTCCTCCTCCTCGTCGTCCTCCTCCTCCTCCTCCTCCCATCCTCCTTCTCCTCCTCCTCCTCCTCCTCCTCGTCCTCCTCCTCCTCCTCCCTCCTCCTCCACCTCCTCCTCCCCCATCCCCCTCCTCCACCTCGTCCTCCTCCTCCACCTCCTCCTCCTCCTCCTCCTCCTCCCACCTCCCACCTCCTTATCCTTCTCCGCCTCCTCCTCCGCCGTACCTGTTCCCTCTCTCTCTCTCTCTCGGATGTGTCAACATCGGGCCGCATCGCGGATGCATCGGCGATGCGGAGCGACCCTTCGATCCCCCCATCTACTAGCACCCTATTTTGGCGCTTTAGGTCTGAGCTGCAGCCGAACCTAAGACAGAAAAACATCCCTCAAGACCATGGGACCCTCCGCCGGCCAAAACACACAGAACATCCAAGGGTACTCTCCCCCAGGATGCACAGGCACGTCCAACAAGCACGAAGAAACAAATTCGGGTGTCCTTCCCGAACTGACCTCGATGTTGTACCTCGGTCCGACCGCATGTCACCATCGGGCCCGAGCGCGCGCCAACAGGGCACGCGAGCTCTGAGGCCCGCGCGACGCCCAGCAGGCCCGCGAGGCTCCGCTCCGTGGGCCGGCTCCCAGCCGAGCCCTGGTTGGTGAAGGCCCGGCGCGCGGCCTGTGCGGAGGGAGGGAAGGAACGTCTCAGACTCGGCGGCGTGCGAAGGGGAGAAGTGAGAAGGAAGAGACCTTCTCAGAAGGCGTCGGGGCTTCTCAGAAGCCCTCGGACCTTCAGAGATGCTTTCGGTGTCTTCGGGGAAAGCTTCGAAGACTTCTCAGAAGGCCAGGGGACTTCCGTGCCTTCCGAGAAGGCCCGCCCATTCTCAATTCCCCCTGGCTCGCCGCCGAAAAATACGGTAGGTTCGTGCGGGGTCGGCGCGCGGGGTCGGCGCGCGCAAAGGGTCCAAGAAGACCGTGGCGGATTCCAGAAGACCTGGATACAAACAAACAACGTGCCATCTCTTAGCGGCGCACATTATGCTTGGCCTACCGCCAGCTTGCGGCTGCGGAGGCGGCCTAGTTTTACTTTCGCGGGCATTCCGCCGCCCTTCCGTCGCATTCCGCCGAGGAAGAGATAACAACTCCTCTAATCTGATCCTCGCAGGCAAAAACTTGTTGGAACGCCTCGGCGTCTCAGAGGGGCAGGTCTCCACCCTCACGTTTTTGTTCCAACAATCCTGTGGTGTTGGGTCCTCGTTTTGAAGTAACGGTCCCCGCGTTCTCCTCCTCCTCCTCCTCCTCCTCCTCCTCCTCCTCCTCCCACTCCTCCCTCCTCCATCACCATCATCATCATCATCATCATCATCATCATCATCATCATCATCATCATCATCATCATCATCATCATCATCATCATCATCATCATCATCACCCGTTCCAGCATACCCCTCACACGCTTCGTGGCCCCATAGGGAGCCCCACCGAAAGTCCCACTGCTACCGCCCGCATGCGTCCCGCACGCCCAATACAGCATTTCATGGCCCCATAGGGAGCCCCCCCAAAGATCCCAGTGCTACGTCCGCATGCGTCCCGTGCACCCAGCACAGCGCTTCGTGGTCCCATAGGGAGCCCCACCGAAGGTCACAGTGCTACCGTCCGCGTGCGTCCAGCACACCCAGTACAGCGCCTCGTGGCCCCATAGGGAGCCCCACCGAAAGGTCCAAGTGCTACTGGCGTCCCGCACATCCGGTTCAACGGTTCGTGGCCCAATAAGGAGCTCCACCGAGGCCCCTGGTGCCACCGTCCGCATGCGTCCAGGAACACCCAGTACAACGATTCGTGGCCCCAGAAGGAGCCCCACCGAAGCCCCCAGTGCCACCGTCCGCATCAATTTGGCATTTACTCCCACCCAGTACAGCCCTTCGTGGCCCCATAGGGAGCTCCACCGAAGCCCCCAGTGGGACCGCCCGCATGCGTCCCAAACACCCAATCTGACATGTTCACCCACCCAGTACAGCGCTTCGTGGCCCCACAGGGAGCTCCACCGAAGCCACCAGTGGGACCACCCGCATGCGTCCCGCACACCCAATTTGGCATTTTAGCCCACCCAGTACAGCGCTTCGTGGCCCCACAGGGAGCTCCACCGACGGCCCCAGTGCAACAGCCCGCGTGCGTTCCCCCCCACCCAGTGCAGCGCTTCGTGGCCCCATAGGGAGCTTCACCGAAGGAGATATTCACAATTGCAGTACCCACAACTGCATATGGTTGGGTCCTTCGCCAGGATAAGTTCGTTTTATCATCGCGCTTTTACAACTAGAAAAACAGCGGGGGGTGCTCGTTTTTCTCAGCCCATCGGGGCCCTCACCGGCCCCAGGGGCCGCAAAGAAGCATGATGATCGACCCACGAACCCAGAAAGGGATGCATGGAAACGTTTCGAAGCACCTCAATTGGGCGATGGGCAATGGCAGTGCTGAAGATATCGATGGTGACGATACCGTGCCAGGGGCTGTGTTGTGCTGCGCTGCGCTGCGCCGTGCCGCACGGGGATCGCGCCAAGGGACGCGCTCGGGGGCGCGCCGCGGGACGTGCCACGGGGACGCGCCGCAGAACGTCCGAAGAGACGCGCAAAGGGGACGTGCCAGGGGACGCAACGCGGGGCGTGCCAGGGGGACGCGCCACGGAACGTGCCAGGGGACGTGCCGGGGGACGCGCCGCGCGACGTGCCAGGGGGACGCGCCACGGAACGCGATAGGGACTGTGCCAGGCGACGCGCCCACGGACGTGCCAACTCCCGCGCCGGGGAGGCCCCCGGAGGCCCGACGCCACGCGGAAACTCCCGCCCGGGAGGGGGCGCCCCGTTAGAAAAAAAGTGAACGCCCCAGGGGTCCGTTCCCGTTCCCGTTCCCGTTCCCGCATCCGTTCCCGCTCTCTCTCTCTCTCTCTTGTTCTCTATCTGTATCTTTCTCTCTCTCTCTCTCTCTTTCTCTCGCCCTCTCTCTCTCTCTCGCCCTCTCTATCTCTATCTCTCTCTCTCTCTCTCCCCCTCCCGCTCACTCTCTCTCTCTCTCTCTCGTGTCCAGGGGGTCCCTGGGACCGAGATCGAAGAATCGCATACCCCCAAATCTGGCAAAAGCCATAAGGACATCAAACATTGCAGGTCCCTTCCACCCTGAAAGGGGGATCAAGAGGGAGGCCACAGAAAGGCCGCGGACGCTTGGAGGCTTGTTGGGCTCTCCTGAGAGGCCTCGCGCCTCTTAGAAACGTGTTTCAGGTTTCTTGGGGCCCGTTGGGGGCTTCTTGGGTACGTCAGGGGGGATGTCTTGGGGGTCTCCTGGGAGTTCGCTGGCGGTCTCGGAAGGTATCTGTCAGACGCCTACGGCGAATCATCGCCGTAGGCGAAGGGGATAGGGAGGGGGAAGGGGATTGGGAAGGGGGAAGGGGATTGGGAAGGGGAGAGTGAGGGGGGGGGGAGGGGATGGGGAAAGAGAGAGAGAGAGAGAGAAGGTGAGGTGGGCCGAGAGGGGAAGGGAAGGAGGGTGCAGAGGGGGAGGATAACGACGTTGACGATGCTGACGATGATGACAATGACGATGACGATGGCGAAGGCGATGACGATGATGATGATGATGCTGATGATGATGATGATGATGATGATGATGATGATGACGATGATGATGATGATGATGATAATGATGATGCTGACGATGCTGCTGATGATGATGGTGATGATGATAATGATGATGATGATGATGATGATGATGGCGATGCTGATGATGTGGATGATCATGATGATGGCGATGATGACGATGATGATGCTGATGATGATGGTGATGGTGGTGATGGTAATGATGACTGATGATATCGATTATGAAGATAATGATGATTCAGATGGACATGCTGATTGTGATGCTAATGATAATGGTGTTGGTGATGATGGTGCTGCTGACGATGATGATGGTGGTGGTGGTGATGGTGATCGTGATAGTGATGGTAGTGGTGATGATGATTACTGATGATGAAGACGATGTTTGATGATGATTACGATCTTGGTGGTTGTTGTAGTGATCATGATGATGATGGCGGTGATGATGATGTTAATGATGATGATGATGATGATGATGGCGGTGATGATGATGCTGCTGCTGATGATGATGGTGATGGCGATGATGGTGATGATGGTGCTGATGATGATGGTGATGATGAGATTACTGCTGCTGATGATCATGATGACGATGAACCTTCTCCATCCTCACTCCTCCCTCCTTCTCCCTCCTCCTCACTCCTCCCTCCTTCTCCCTCCTCCTCACTCCTCCCTCCTTCTCCCTCCCTCCTCCTCACTCCTCCCTCCCTCCCTCCCTCCCTCCCTCCTTCTCTCTCCTCCTCCCTCCTCCCTCCTCCCTCCCTCTCTCCCTCCCTCCCTCCTCCTCCCTCCTCCCTTCCCCCTCCCTCCCTCCCCCCGATCTACCCTCTGGAAATGGCACGGGCGGCGGGCACGGGAACGGCAACGGGAACGGACCCCCGGGGGCGCTCGCGCGCCTTCACGGGGGGGCACCCCCGGAGGCCCGACACCGCGCGAAGATGTCCCGGAGGCCTTCCTCCTCCTCCTCCTCCTCCCTCCTCCTCCTCCTCCTCCTCCTCCCTCCTCCTCCTCCCTCCCTCCTCCCTCCTCCCTCCTCCTCCTCCTCCTCCTCCTCTCCTCCTCCTCCTCCTCCTCCTCCTCCTCCTCCTCCTCCTCCTCCTCCTCCCACCACGCGAAAACTCCCGCCCGGGACAGGAAGCCCTCAGGGGCCCGACGCCACGCGAAAACTCCCGCCCAGGAGGGGGAACCCCCAGAGAGGCCCGACACGACGCGAAGACTCCCGCCCGGGGAAGCCCCCATGCAGAGGCCCTACGCCACGCGAAAACTCCCGCCCCGGGGAGGGCCCCGAGAGGCCCGACACCACGCGCAAATTCCTCTCCAGATACTTCTCTGCATTGGGACATGTACTCGGTGGGCGTGTTTCGGTCTCCTGTTAGTTCCTGAAAATCAGGCGCTGGACTCGAAGCCGCGAATCCTCGTAAATTGCATTGCGTCCGCGCGCCCAAGGCCGCGATCCGTCTTAATTTACGCCGGATTCGCGATCTCAAGGCCAAAATCACTGGTAAACTGGGCTGGGTTCGCGCTCTCAGGGCCGCGATCACTAGCAAATTAAGCTGGATGCACGCTTCCAGGGCCACGGTCCCTCATGATTTACGCTGGATGCACGCTCCCAGGGCCACGATCCTTCGTAAGTTAAGCTGGATTCGCGCTCCCAGTGCCAAGACTTACTGAGACTGAGAGGAATGGTTCGCCCTTCGAGCAGTTGTTTCAATTTTCTCTTAGCTTAAGCGTCGCCATCTCCCGAGGACACGCCTTCGAGGCCCCGAGCGATTGTATTATTCCTAAAGCGCGCACCCAAGCACATGCCCAAGAACATGCCCACGCACACTCATGCATAGTAACGCAATGTCTGAACTTGTCATGGCATAGCGAAGCATAGCATAGCATAGCATATCATTACATGCCATAATGTACCAACGCATGCAACAGCTCATGTTCCACCTCTTGATTGGTTCGTCGATGTTAATGTTGCTGCAGTTCCTGTGTCAGCCACTAAAGTTTAATTTGGCAAAAGCAGCATCTCGGTCGGGACACCCTCACCGCCTCGACCTCGTTCTTCATCGGAGAAAGATTTTAAAATAATTTCGCCGGCTCGTCTCAAGTCGATTCAAGGGGGGAACCTACGTTAAAAGAGAACCCTGGGCCTCCGCCCTCTCCGGAAACAAACGCTCACCCCCCGATCGATGCTCCCCCGTCCCGCTCGATGCTCCTCCCCTCCCGCTCGATGCTCCTCTTCCTCCTCCTCCCCCTCCCCCTCCTCCTCCTCCTCCTCCTCCTCCTCCTCCTCCTCCTTCTCCTCCTCCTCCCTTTGCTGCTCCTCTGTTTTCTCCTCCTCCTGCTGCTCTTTCTCCTTCTTCTCCTCCTTTTCCTCCTCCGTTTTCTCCTTCTCCTCCTTTCCCTTCTCCTCCACCGACTCCTCCTCCTCATCCTGTTCCTGTTCCTCCTCCTCCTCCTCCTCCTCCTCCTCCTCCTCCTCCTCTCCTCCTCCTCTCCTCCTCCTCCTCCTCCTCCTCCTCCTCCTCCTCCTCCTCCTCCTCCTCCTCCTCCTCGTCACCCCCCCCTCACCCCCCCCTCCTCCTCCGGAGCGCGGGGCCTCCTTCACGCCCCTGGTCGACAGCGCCCGCGTCAGCGCCCCCCCGACGCCCGACGCCCGCGCGAGCGCGGAGAGCCGCCGCATGCCGGGGGCCTCCTGGGCGGGGGCACCGCGCACTGCGCGGGCGGGCCTCGCGAAGAGGGAACCGGGCGCGCGGCAGGCTGCAGCTCTCCGGCGCGGGGCGTCTGCGCCCCCCCCCCCCCCGCGGGAGCTCCTCCTCCTCCTCCTCCTCTTCCTCCTCCTCCTCCTCCTCCTCCTCCTCCTCCTCCTCCCTCCTCCTCCTCCTCCTCCTCCTCCTCCTCCTCCTCCTCCTCCTCCTCCTCCTCCTCCTCCTCCTCCTCCGGCGACTCCACTCTGTCGAGCCGGGCGTTTTCGTCCAGTGTCGGGCCACGGCAGCCTCACAGACCGAGGCAGCTCCGCATGATCGGCCCGCGAACCCGGAAAGGAGTGTAGGAATGTCAGGCATGGCGCAGCTTCAAAAGCACCTGATTGGGCGACGGGCAAATTCAATGCTGAGAGTATCGATATTGATGTACCGTGCCGAGGGCTGTGCTCTGCTGCGCCGTGCTGAACTGCGATGTGCCATGCCGCGACTGTGCTCTGTAGCGTTGTGGATCGAGTCCTCCTTTGCATTCGAACCCTGACCGAAATGATCTGGATCTTAAGCTCGGACTGCCTGAGCACATAGTAGCTGCCCCAGATCAAATTGACAGGGGGCCATGCCAGGAGGACCCGCCGCGGAACGTCCCAAGGGACGCGCCAAGCGACGTGCCAGGGGACGTGCCACGGGGACGCACCGCGGGACGTGCCAAGGGGACGCGCTATGGAACGTGCCAATGGACGTGCCACCTCATGTTAGACATCCGCCTGGGCGAACTGGACACGTGAAAACAAGTGGTTCGCTCGAGACATCCTCACCGCATCTTCCTGTTAGACGTCTTTTCCAGCACCCCAGGAAGGACCAAGGAGGCCCATGTTAGATACCCCCCCCCCCCCCCCAGGTGGCCTTGACACGATGAAACACATGGCTCCGCCAAGTTAGATACCCTCCTGGGTGGCGACACGTAAATTCAGGCGGCTCCAATTCGGGACAATCATGTTAGATACCCCCTCTGGGTGGCCTGGACACGAACAAAACACGTGGTGCCAGCTCTGGGCAACCATGTTAGATACACCCCTGGGTGGCCTGGACAGGTAAAACCACCTGGCTCCAATTCGGGACAACACGTGCATTTTTTTGGGGGGTCTGCGGGTCGAGAGCAGGCCTCTTCCGGTTAAGAGCTAGGCGGGGCGCGCAAAACACTAATTGGGGAGACAGGGCGCGGGCGGGCGGGGCCTCGGGCGGCCGGAGGGCGCGGGGTGCAGGCGGTGCCGAAGAGCTCGCACAGGAAAAAGTACGCCTTGGACAGGAGCCGGAGGCGAAGTCCCGGAGGGAGAGCGGAGTGGTGTTGCCGTCGACGGCGCGTCAAAATCAGCATCCCCGAGTGCTGCGTGCGGAAGGACGTGACCAGTTCGACGTCCGGGGGGTAGAGGTACACCAGGTAGGCGAAGTGCAACAGGTGCCACCAACTGGTAAGGAGAGGCCCAGGAGATGAGGATGACCACGAAGACGATGTGCAACGTTGTGCCACCGGTTGGTCGGTAGCGGCCTGGAGTGGTAGTCCAATCCACGTCCAGGTAGCAGCCAAGAGGACAACACGTGAAAACACGTGGATCCAGCTCGGGACAGTCATGTTAGATACCCTACTGGGTGGCCCCGACCAAAGAAACACGTGGTTCCAGCGCGGGACAATGTTAGATACCCTACTGGGTGACCTGGGCCCTCGTGGGGCCTCCATGAGAGAAAAAAAAAAAAAAAACGGATTCGTGCCCCTGGATACGGCCAATCGATGGGAACAGATATAACAACACACGGATTCGTGCCCCTGGCCCAAATATATCCCGCACCCTGTGCTTTATATATATATATGTATATATATACATAGATATGTGTGTTTTGTTTGTTTTCGTTGGGTGTTTTTTTCTCAAACAAACAGAAACGTTTCGCTCGGGACATCCTCAATGTTCAATCGCTGGCCCTACGCGACCTTGTTATACATCGGAAAAAATCGCCGGCCCGTCGCAAGTAAAGACCCAGCGTCCGGTAGCAAAACTAAAAGAAACCCTGGGCCTACGCCCTTTCCGGAAAAACATGGCGCACAAAGATGGGCTCCAGGGCAGTCCCACGGTGTTCCAACTTTTTCCGAGGCGTCGGATCTATCAGGGACTGGGGGGGCGGTAAAGAGGCGGTGGGGCGAAAGAGCGAGCACCTGCCGTGTCCTTCTGGGCCCCTTGAGGGCACAGGAGGTGCACCTCGTCGTCCTCCTCCTCCTCCTCCTCCTCCTTCCTCCTCCTCCTCCTCCTCCTCCTCCTCCATACAAGTAAGACCTCCAGATGCCACGCCCGACGACGATGTGGACGTTTCAACCCATTCGGCGCCCCGGGAGCCCCGTTGCTGGGCTCTGGGGCCCTAAGAAACGGGTCCAGGACGAAGAGCTGCCCCCGGGAGAGGGGTCGAGAGCTCTGCAGAGCCTCGTCCAACACGGCTGGGGCAGTAAGGCGAACCAGTGGATCCCGACTTGCGTGGAGTCCAGGTTCCCTTTCGTCGCCTAACGACGCCCCCCCCTAGCTCCCCCAGTTCCTCGCGACGCCCCCCATCCCGCCTTCTCAGCCTCGCGACGCCCCCCCCTTCCCCCCCCCTTCCCCCCCACCCACCCTCCCCCGTCCCCCTCTCTCCCCGCTTCGCTTCAAAACTAATAGAGCATGATCGACCCACGAACACGGAAAGAAATAAAGAAATGTAGGGCATGGCAACGCTTCAAAGACACCAGATTGGGCGACGGGCTAATGCAATGCTGAATGTATCGATTTTGATGTAACGTGCCGAGGGCTGTGCAGCGCCGAGCTGGATTGCGATGTGCCATGTCGCGATTGTGCTCTATAGCGTTGTGGATCGAGTCCTCCTTTGCATCCGAGTCCTGACCGAACTGGTCTGGGTCTTAAGCTCGAGCTGCCTGAGCTCAAAGTAGCTGCCCCAGAGCTAATTGACAGGTGGCAATGCCAGGGGACGCGCCAGGCGACGTGCCAGGGGACGTGCCATGGGGACGCACCGCGGGACATGCCAAGGGGACACACTAAGGAACGTTAAGACACGTGGTCCTTGCTCCAGACAACCATGTTCGATATCCCCCATGGGTGGCCTGGACACGTAAAAACACGTGGTGCCAACTCGGGACAACCATGTCAAATACACCCCTGAGTAGCCTGGACACCTTAAAACACATCGCCTTTGCTCGGGACAATCATGTTAGATACCCTCCTGGGCGGTCTGGACATGCAAAACCACGTGATGCAAGCTCGGGACAACCATGTCAAAGATCCCCCTGGGTGGCCTGAACACGTAAAAACACGTGGTTCCAGCTCGGGACAACCATGTTAGATATCCCATTGGGTGGCCTGGACACGTAAACACAAATTGGGACAACCATGTTGGATATCCCCCTGGGTGGCCTGGACATGTAAAAACACGTGGTTCCAGCTCGGGACCACCATGTTAGATACCCCCCTGCGTGGCCTGGATACACTGAGATCGCGCTCCCGCTCGAGACATCCTCGCAGTGTCTTCCCTGGAGAGGCCCCCAAAGCGCCACCCCCTGTCCAGTGCAAGAAGGCATCACTCCTGTCCAGTGCAAGAAGGCATCACTTTCCTGTATTGGGATATGTGTTCAGGTAGCGTTGTTCGGCCCCCCGTGCGGTTCCTGATAATTCGGCGTTGGGCCGGACGCCATGGTGGATAACCCCCTTGGCGGCCTGAACATGTAAAAACACGTGGTTCCAGCTCGGGACAAACATGTTAGGTACCCCCTGGGTGGCCTGGACACGTAAAAACATATGGTTCCAGTTGGATGGCCTGGACAGCTCGGGGCAATCATGTTGGATATCCCCCTGGGTGGCCTGGTCACGTAAAAAACAGGTGGCTCCAGCACAGGACCACCATGTTAGATACCCCTCTGGGTGGCCTGGACACAAGAAAGCACGCGCTCCAGCGCAAGACAACCATGTTAGATACCCCTCCTTGGTGGCCTGAACACGTAAAAACACGTGGTTCCAGCTCGGGACCACCATGTCAGATACCCCCAATGGGTGGCCTGGACATGCGAAAACACACCATTCCAGCTCGGGACAACCATGTTAGATATCCCCCTGGTGGCCTGCACGCGTCAAAACTCATGGTTCCAGCACACCCAGCGGGGGGATATCCAATATGCGGACGTCTGGGGCGCCAGCGAGGGACAACCATGTTAGATACCCCCCTGGGTGGCCTGGGCACAAGAAAACAAGCATTTCGCCTGAGACATCCTCTGAATTCTAGCCCCCCACGAGGCCCCCGCTCAAGACATCCCCCAACTCTGCAAAACCAGCGTTTCGCCTGAGACATCCTCGACAAACTTGTGAAAAAAACAATCGTTTCGCTAGGGACATCCTCAAACATAATTTCGCAAGCCCCGGATCGACCAGGCTGCAGAAAAGTGCCGCAAGAAGTTGGGATCATAGGCTGCAGTCGTGATTCCCCGGCGTCAGATCTTGGGGCAGGGTTGCCGACAAGCGGTCTTTGGGCTGATGAAGGCTGTCTGAAACCGCAAGTATCCAAAAACCTCCCGGCTGCCATTACCATGATGCAACACCAAAACGAAACAATATCGAAACACATTCGGACCGGGATACATCAAGGAATTCGGAGATCGGGCGGCTCTGAAGGATGTATCGGTCACTGCGGCAATCTCAGAGCGCTCCAGAACACGATGAGAACGTTCCGAACGCTCTTGACGGGCTACAGTCGGACCTAGGACAGAAGAACATCCTTCAAGAACATGAGACCCTCCACCGGCCAAAACACACAGAACATCCACGGGTACCGTCCCCAGGATGCACGAGAACATCCAACATGCGCGAAGAACACCACGGCACCCTCTCCGAACCGACCTCGATCACATACCACTCTCCCGCTGCAAGCTGAACTTAGGCCTGCGTGAACGATCCCCTCCAGCCCCAAGCCG